TTAGCACCGCCCCCCAACTCGCTCACAGGCTTCTCATTTCCCCTACGCTCTCATAACACGGAGCCACCTAGTTTTATTTGCGATCTGATACGTATGCTAACATTAGCAATAGCGCAACTTGTAAGCTGTGCAACAATCACTGATGAAATGGTACTAAAGCAATGCACTGCTAACACAATATATAAGTAAAAGAATACCGCTCGTTTTATGTCCGAATGTATTAATTTAAACATTAGAATCTATTCTAATATTTAATTATAATTTATTATACAGCTCCTCACAGCAGCAGCACTCCATTGACTTGAATTCAATTCTTCCGATAATTTTTTCTTGATAACAGAACTCTCAAACCAATAATGACCGCTGCCCTTTGACAATGCAATCTCTGTTTGTAATTCAGGTGTGTAAAATACTGCCATTACTTTGCAAGTACAACAAGCTATCAGCGCCTGTCACTACACACTTGTCTGTGTAGAGAAGCTAGCGGAGCTAGCCACGCTCAATAAACAAATACATATCAATCAATCAACACCATTAAACGTCAATCGGACAATACAGTATACATATACATCCTTAACACACATGCACGGACGATTTCAGAATTTGCTGTCAACGTTTTCATGACAAAAATACTGTTATAAAGTGACAAAAAGCGATCGCGAAAAACCCGGAAGTTACCATGAAACAACTAGCTAGCTTAGCTGTTACCTGCCTAGCACGTCCCGGTGAAACCTTTGGGAGCTAACTATTTTATTTGCAGTCATTAAATACATTTCTAATTATAAGGGTTGTCTAATATTTGTTCAAATATGTATATATTTTTTATTTTAGAATTATATTCGAATTTTGAAGTCGAAGCCCTGGTGTTGAGCAGCGCTGTAGAGGCTAGAGGACGCAGGCTGTTCGCTGCTCGTTCTGTGAGTGGAGGAGAACGAGCGGCCCGCTCAGACTCTACTCAGCACTTTTCACTGCCTGAATTTCATACACAGTGGAATCAATGACCTCAAGTTTTCAATTAAATTATGTATTATGATACAACTTGTATGTAGTAAAAAGCATTTTTATGAACTAGTTAGAAAAAAAATCGGGTATAGCTTCTTTAAATACAATCTTGTTACTAAGACTAAGATAACAACATTATATTAACAACAAACATTTTATTTTATTACTATAGCCTTGGGTTTTATTTAAAAAACAATTTTACATGAATGACCTTCATTCATATTTGTGTTTCTCTGTCAGAGATGAGGCAGAACAAAAACTGTGCAATAGAAACGTGAGACTTGAGCGACTGTGAGATTATTTAGTTTACGTTCCTACTGTTCCTGCAGAGAGTGCAGAGATAGCATAAATGTGTTTAAAACTATTATTCACTATTATTAAATCAAGAAATGCAATTGAACAAGTCCAGTACCTTGGAGAGCTCTTCTGTTTAGTGTCCCTGTGCAAATGCTTCACAACACAATCCTAACTAAATCATAACCACCTAAGTGCTTTGGAGAGCACTGATGAACTTGCCTGGTCTGCCAGAGTTGGATACGAGCTGATCTTCTAAGTATATTCAAGATTTTTAGTCCTGGTTTATGCTTGGTTTCATTATGACAGTTAATAATGATTAAAAAGGCAAGGAAAGTTTATTTATATAGCACAATTCATACACAAGGCAACTCAAAGTGCTGAACAAATCATGATAGTACTCTCGCTTGTCAGCAAGAAGGTCTTGGGTATGAATTCTGGTCGGAACAGGGCCATTCTGAGCGGAGATTGCATATATAAATGAAGGTTACTTATACTTACTTATTGTCATAATAAGCAATGTCTTTAAGAAATATCCAGACTCCTGGAAAATTCAGTTGAATAGCCCTGCATTAAAAAGATGTTTGTAGTTTAGTATACACCCTTTAATGTTATTCTCAACCATTTGGTAGACCTCATTTTGAGTCACTATATCTACTTGGAACATGGTTAGAACTGAAATCTACCTCATTGGGGCCTCTCCATCACTTGGTTGAAGTCACTGTTGTTTTTGACGGTAGATCTTTTTATTCTTCCTTCTTTGAACAAATTTAAAAGACAAAAAACACTCATTTTGTGCAGCCTATTTTTGGGTCCAATTTCAAAGGTGATTTTATAGAGACTAACAGGTGACTTAAAATAGTATGTAACTTGATGAAACAAAAAAGGAGTTGTGAGGGTCAAATAATTCTTTTGAAAACATGCGTGGCTATTTGGTGGAGTTGACACTTCATGGTAACATTTAGCATGGAGGGAAATCTCAGCCATATGGTTAAAATTTAGTAAACCTATGATAAATACATACAAAATAATCATAGAAAAAATTATTGTTAATATGTTGAATTATTGTGTTTTTTCACTAAAATGTTGATATTTATTTTGCATTTATTTATTGATGGGTATAGAGAGCATGGGCAAAGTTTGGCTCAACCGCATATGGAGCGGTCCTGATTGAAGATAGAGGACCTCACAGTCTCTGCCTGAAGGCTCTCTCCAGATGGAAATGTAGAAAGTGCAATGTATTCCTGTTTTTGATCACAGAGAATCATTTTTGCATACCATCAAAAATAAAGTGACTTATTCTAAGAGTCCCAACATTGTCATTTGGGTAATTTTTATTTATTTATTCCTTTTTAACTTTTATATTGACCCAATATTGTTTCTTTCCACATAATTGCATGGTCATATTGTTTGTGTTTGTAGAATAGCATTAAAATTTAATTAACTGTCAGTTTTGATACCCGGATATCACATATTATTGCTAAATAAAATCAACAAATTATGATTATTTGAGTGGCAGGGCACAACACTAAACATATAATCACACCTGTGTCCACAACAACCATAGAGACAGTTGAGAAAACACACTTTTTCCTTTTCCAGTTGGTGATTGTCGATCTTTCGAACCTGTTTTGCACCTGTTTTGCACAAAGCAGCTGGTATACTGCATTTTGTGTGTTTGTTTCTGTGTTGTGAGAGAAAAAGCTAAATGGTCCTGTTCCTTTTGAATCAATACAGATGATTTAGAAGCAGCATTTTGTTGTTGTTGCAATTTTCACAAAGATTTTGTGTTTTCATGCGTAATATTGTCAACAGATCTTCTCTTAATTACACACCTGTTGTGACTGTAATATTGTCAGTAATTTGTCATTTTGTTTGTGGTAAAAGCATGAAAATGTAATGATGTTTTTAAATTGGACAACTATGCTCTCCAAATCTCTGGTGACGCATTCTCACTGCTGCACAAGACACCGTGGAATCATTAAAAACACTGACGTACTTAAGGTTGGTTCTGACGGAGAGGGGTGATAATGGTTTTTTGTGTTGTTGTGCGTATAGAACAGAATTTTTGGCGGATAGTCCTATATTATTGTCTGAAACGGTGTACCTCATCACTTGTAGGCACTGGATACTTATGCACTCACTGCTATAGCAAAAGCAAGTATTTACAGCTCTGCTCTAAATATCGTGTTGGCCTGCATTGCAAGAATCTGCTGAAATGGACTTCTCCCATCTGCTCCAAAAGCCGTCAGGAAGAAGCACAAAGAGAGCTAAAGGGGAGAGGTAAATTGGGCTGGAAAGAAAATGGAGAAGAATATGAAATGAATCTGTCCGCTCCAGATGGTTGTGCGAATGTGAGCATGTACACACGTGTGAGCCGCTGATTTGGACTTGTGTTGGGATGTTTATTGTATGTTTTTGGGGGTTTTTGAGTTTATTTTGGTGAACTTTAGACAAACAACAACATCTGGTGCATGTGCAGTGATCCTAATCCAATATTGAGACACACTTCTTTGTCTGAGTGGAGGTTGAGCGGGAATATACTGGCCCCATAGGGAGGTTAGGGTCAGCGCCTTCAAACACACTGTTCTCAAAGATATAAGGTTAATAAATCAATAGACATAGCTATCTGAGAAACAATTACTGCAAGACACACATACGTACAGTACAGCGTGTGCACATGGTCGAGTACATGGCTTTCTTTGGAACAAGCTGTTTAAGTATTTCCCATTGGGTGAACAAAACAGGCCAGGTGCACACAGGCAGAGCAAAACAGTTCCTTCAAATACAGCATACGTGTATTTTCATCTTTGCTCTATATTTTAAACGCCTATTGGCTCATGACATTTTATGCATTTGAAAACTGATCTTGAAAAATGAGATCAAGGCCATCGCAGGACTCTCAAGCTTTTGTTTTTAAACGTTTTTTAAGTATTAACTAGAACAAGTGTAGCTTCAAATATTTACATTTTTGAGGTTTTGTTATATACTTTTATTCTTTGTCGTCACACCCCTCTGCTGACCTATAATAGATTTAGCAAAGGTGGTGAGTGATACAGAGTTAAGGAGGTACAGTAAGTAAAGCCTCTACTAGATGCCACTTGAAAACTAGCTGCCCATTAAAATGCCACTGAAAATGCTAGAGGCAGAAATTTGTGGCAGCTGCATCTGATTCCGGTGCCACAAAAAGAGCCTTCCCACATTTAACATTTGGTTAAAATCACATCAAATCCAATGAATATAGATACATAGATACTTTATAGTTATCCCATGGGTGAAATTCCGGTGCCCAGTAGCAGCAGAAACACATCCATCCATACAAAACAAATAAATAGATAATTCTAATAGCAGCTAGCAAAAGAAGTAGTATTACTGTATAATGCAACAGCACTTTAGCTCACAACAGCAGAAGTGGAGTGATGATATGAATTTGATCTTAACATAATAATAATTTTAAAAAGTATTTATATTATCTTCATTTTGTATGGTCAGTTCATGAGCATTACATTACGTTTGCATCAGAATCAATTTTTATCTGGGAGGCCTGAGAGATCTTTGGATCAATAAAGGGAAGCCTTCATGCAGAAGACTTTGGAAACGGCTGATCGAGACCGTGTTATAATTTCTTTTTGATACACAATACAATGCATAAAACTACCACAGCCTGAGTAATGTTTAAAATGTCCTGATGCTGCCACGCGCTCATGTATATACCATACGTAGAGTGCTGTAAGTGCTCTCATTTTCTCAGAGTGCTTGGCGGCAGGAGAATTGCATGGTCTTAGGTGCATTTCCACGACACATGCTTCTAACACAACACCCCTCCGCAAAGCACTCTTGTTTAAATATAAATATGACAAGTGTAAATGCCATGGGAGACAATTGGCGTGAGATCTGTCAACCATGTAGTGCTCGAAAATCGCAGGAATTCACTTTTTATGCCGTGATCCCACTAATGTGTATTTACTGGCACTTTTCATGTAGCGCAACTGTATATAAGAGGAATCACAGAATTGCAGGACATCTTCATTCTTTTCTCTCGAGTGAGTTTGGGTCATTATCACGTGACATGATAAAGCGAATGTGAATGGTTTTGACTCGAATCATGCAGTTCTTTTGAGATCTGAATTTTTGTAATCGTTTTGATTTTGATATTTTTTTTATTTTAACCTTATTTTAACGGATAAAGCATTCAGGACATGCATTTTAATATCAATGTTTTTTCTCTGTTGCAGCTCAATTTTGTGGCGGTGTAGTTCAAGGCCTGAATGGAACCATAGAGTCGCCCGGCTTCCCTCACGGTTATCCCAACTACGCCAACTGCACGTGGCTGATCATCACGGGAGAGAGGAACCGGATACAGCTTAGCTTCGTCACGCTGGCTCTGGAGGAGGACTTTGATATAGTGTCAGTCTACGATGGGCAGCCTTCACCTGGAAACCTAAAGCTGAGGTACAATATTTTGATACTTGCTTCAAGTGACTTACGCAATAAGCAAGAGTAAGAAGCTTTTCCCATGTTGCAAGAACAATGCCTCAATTCTTTTAACAATTTTATTTTGGAAAATTATACTCTATACTATAGTGCAGTGTTTTTCAACCACAGTGCCGTGGCACACTAGTGTGCTGTATGATATTGTCGTGCCGTGAGAAATTTGTCTACTTTGTCTAAGAATAAATGCATCCTCCGTTGGCGAGTGCTGATTTGTTTTGAACTGTGGAAAAACCACGTAATACTTTTTCATATCAGTGGGAGCGGATAGCTGAGTACTTTGAAACGTAAGAATTGGACGCAACCACAGGATGTAACAGGTTGCAGGGAGCATTGTGGCGAGAAACATAAGAATTGGACGCCTCCGTCTGTCCCCCGTGTCTCTCCCGTGTCTCTCCCGTGTCTCTCCCGTGTCCCCCCGCGAAGCGCAACCACAACTTCAGAATTTAAAGCTCGGATACCTAAATTCTCCCCATGCATAAACAATGCATGTTGTTTGTGCACAAAAGTAAAATGTTGTGAACAAATCAAACAGAACACACAAGAGGCAATTTATTTTATTATTTGCATACTTAAGAGACCTCTGAGTATTATTATATAGTATATTATTTGATGTTTTTATCCACACAGTTATTGCCAATTTATTCCCAAACTCTTGTTAACTCATTGTATTGAGAAACATTAAACAAAGCTTAATGTCAAGTCCTGGATGAGAATGAATTTATATTATGAATATAGGCTACTATTTATTTTCACATTTTCTCCTGGTGGTACTGTATGTTGCAATATTTTTTCCATGAAAAAAGTGTGCCTTGGCTCAAAAAAGGTTGAAAAAACACTGCTATAGTGGCCTCAACTGCATGTGAAGCTGTAAAGTTCCAAACTGCTGTTGTGTCCTTAGATGTGTATGTGAATGGCTGGTGATGGTCGGAGGGGCCGATGGCACATGCCTTGCTTCTGTCAGTGTGCCCCAGGACAGCTGTGGCTACAGCTGCAGCTTTTCACCTCCGTGTATGGAGTCAAAATACTATGTTAAGCGTCTTTGAGTGTCCAATTAATTATTAAAACAATTATAATTCTTTTTTCAATGAATGATGAAGGATTTAAATTGAATAGTGTTAAGTACAGTAATATAACAAGAGGAATTTGACGGGGGTAGCTGGGTAGCTGTAGAGTGTGAAACGTCCGGTTATCAACTTCGGCCTTGGCCAATGGAATGTGGGGGATTAGGAGAGGAGCCACAGACACACAAGAGAAAACACATTTGCCTTGAAAGGGACAAATTATGTGAGCAATGTAAGTAAGTAATGTTTATTTATATAGCGCATTTTTACAGACCAAGGTCACCCAAAGCGCTTTACAATGTTCAGAGTCAGATATTGTTCCAATCATTCCACACACGGTGATGACAGAAGCGAGTCGCCGAACACACTGGCGCATCAACCCCCAATCAACACCATCCATTCACTCTCTCATTTACATTCATACCTATTGTGCATTTTTTTAGTGGTAATGGAAACCGGAGCACCCGGAGTAAACCTACGCAGAGGCAGATCAAATATCAATGTAGCAGATCAAAACACCGGCAAAATATACTATAAGTCCAATTTCTGGTACCCTCAGTAACCTCCGTACACAGGGTCTTTCCGTATGGGTCAGAGAGTTCAGCCCTGGCACACAATCTCGTTCAACTTCATCTCTAGCGTTTTATGTCCATCCAAAGATCGCATTGCAAGATCTTTATATTGATGCATTGGCAGCGGTAGTGTTTGGTGAGTTGTGTGACTGTAATATTGTTGCATAAAGGGCAAAGAGAATGGCATTTACAGAGTTGGCATTCAGTGGGAAGCTTATTCATAGTGCTGTGGTGAGTGGGAGGAGAAGCGGAGAATGCACCAAGAAAGATTCAAGGTTAGTGCTGCAGTTATGAACAACAGTGGGCTTTCCCTGACAACATCATACTGTATACTCATTATTTACACTGGGCCAGAGTATGTTAACTTACTGTTGCAACTGTAAATACGAATAACATGTACACATACACTGGATCAAAAAAGTATTAGACAGTTGTCATTCTTTGAAGTTGTACCACTAAAAAAATGAGACCGGTCCTTAATATTCGGCCGATTCTTCCACGCAGATATTCTATAAAGCTGTGATGTTTTGGGATGTTTGTTTTGCTTAGTGCCCCAAAACGTTTGTCCTTTCACATGCCATACTGCATTCTCTATTTTCACAAACATAAATTCATGTAAAGGAAAAAATACAAGATTTACAAGAATGGTAGGTAGATTCTGGGCATAAAAAGACAGGTAGGGGCAAGGCAAAATACAAAAGGGACATTTAACGACATTTGACACATCCAACATGACTTTATGCAAGGGGATTGTTATTAGATGCCCAAATATGGCCTTCAATGCCCACTCAGATAAAGTGAATGGGAAACGTATGACTGATTACTTTTATCTGAATGCTTTTTAAACACTTGTAAGCTGAAGCATGTGCTAGTTTGAAGGAAACTGACTTAGAATCTTTGATGTTACTGCCTCTGCTTGAGCATGCTCAAAGCTCTCAATGAAAAAAAACAAAAAACACAATATGAATGTGTATACAGCCCCTGTGTATTATGAGAATGCCTTTCTTTCTAACCAAAAACCCAGTTACATACACTGGTATTATGTTTCTATATATATATATATATTTTTTCTTCTTCCTTTTTGCTGTCGGTGGTGTTATGCCGTGAGTGAACTTCTCTGTCACAGCTGAATGAGCAGTGCTGTGCTTTTACTCACCTGGGTCACTCCTGCTTCACTCCTGCTTCGGGTCAGCTTCCCTGCACCAATGTAGCCTTTGGATGGTGGAGCAAAACTTTGTGTCTTTAACTTGATTGAGGAGCTTTTTGCAGTTTTCTTTCTTCACTACATGTTGGGAGCAGTCCTAAAATAGCCATTAGTTGAAGTAGAAGCAGGTATTTGGAGCCGAGAGATGTTAAATCACCCTCTTTCAATTTGGGAACCTCTGTTTCGGTCCTTCATCTATTAACTGTGTGGTGGACTGTACAAATGTGCCACTGTTCTTCGGTAAAGGGGGTCTTTATCCTGCATTGAAATGTCTTTGGCACTAAGGTGTAGTCACTTGTCACATAGACTGAGGCGTCAGAGGTGATAATCAGTTTCACGTTATTTTCCACACAAATTTAATCTCACATTTTCACTTACACCTGATCTTCCTCCTGCAGCCTCTAGCCTCAGGTGCTGTGAACTCTCACTGTGAACTCATGCCCAATGCTCTTAATTCCAAGAGAGGAAGCCAAACGCACTGGGCTTACAGACAACTCCTCAAGCTCAATTCAACCAAATATAATCACTTTTGGACATTCACATGCAGTGGAATGGAACAGTAAATAAGATTCATCTGATTGTTCAAGGTGAGAATTTCCCACCTGTTTTTTGTACCCATTTTTAAACAAGTGGAGGATCACTTTTTCAGGTATGGCAAGTAGGGGTGGGAACCTCAGGGTACCTCACGATATGATACGATACGCGATACAAAGCTCACGATAATTATTATATCACGATATGACAATTATCGATATATTGGTCAGAAATATACCATATGCCAATTTTGGCATAAATAAAAGGAAAATGTTAATTGAAAAAATACACTTTATTTCATGATAAATGGTATGGAGATAGTCATATATCAAGTATTGATACACATTTTTTTAGTTTTTTTTTTAATCGATACTTGGCAAATGCATATTGATAATCGATCGCGGGAGAAAGTATCACGATATATCGTTATATAAATATATCGTCACACTCCTAATGGCAAGGCAAGGTCATTTGTATAGCACAGTTTGTACATATGGCAACTGAAGGGGCTTAACAAAACAAGACACATTAAGATTATTGTCACAAACTGCAGTGAACCTTAAACAATGTGGAAATCCTACAGGCGTCCACAAGATGATGGCACCAAGGACAGGTGACACACCCGAACTCTAGAGAGGCTTGAAATAGGCCTTCCAATTTGTAGCCCATTGTTCCCCATTTTGTTTCTCTTACAAAAGTAAGTAATATTAATTGGTCCTCCATTGTTTACATACTAATTTGGTATTACCATAGTTCTGTAAAGTAATGTTTTGTCTCAGTTATTACAATAACTACAAACAAATGTGGGATATATTACACCCACTATTTCCGGGTGGTCTGTGGCTCCAGTTTGTAAAATCACACATATAATAAACATAAAGAATCACAGTGTCACAAAAAGAGTGTGGCTAAAATCCTTCAGATGGATGTACAGCTAAACACAACTGTCTTTAAGCCTTTGTCATACTTTCAGGTAAAGTTTCAGAAACACCAACACTCTTTTTCTTAACGTTTTAGGCTGATGAAGAAAGTCCACCCACATCGGCTCTTGGGACCTTACGAAGTGATCCTGCAATAAAGCTGTAACGCTAACCAATCATTTTGAAATCTTATACATTCTAGAGTTTATTTTGTCAAAGTTAGAAGTGGGAAGGACACAAATGAGCATGAATATAACTATCTTCCCCTGACAAATCTCATCGATATAGCTGTTGTTGGAGAAGTTGGCTTTTCCCAACTCAAACTCAAAACTTGAGAATACTATGTGCAGTGTTGCGGTTGTCAGTGACGGTGCTGACTTTTTCCTGTTTTTGCTGCAGGGACAGTTGAGCAGGAACCGAATAGTTTGACATGAAAACTACAATAACTATACCCTGTCAACTTTCTGGAAATATGTCTCCTTCCTGTTGACGTCCAGATCTTCGAATATCTTGTCAGGACCTAGTTCCATAATGAGCTGCATTCTTGAGTTTCACATGTTTGTAATATTTTGACTTGAACCCTTGAGCCAACATGCAGCAATTATCTCCTCCAGGTGCCGCCTCTCTTCTCACCAGCTGACCTGAAACCCTCCTCTTCGCTCAGCGCCTGTGTGAATGGCTTTGGGCTTGCTGATACAAATGCATTGTACTGCCCACATGCTAAGATCTGACCGTCCTCTGAGTGTTGACAAAGCGGAGCACATAAGCGGTTGGATATATCTTTGTTATGCAGCTGTCCCTCGAGCTGCCCCCAGACTTGGCATGTGGGGAACTCTGAAATCTTAAATATATTAAAGAAGGGCTGATGTGGCACTATGGCCCTCTTCATCGACACCCCAGCGGTGTGTCAGCAGCAACAAGCAACTCCGTCCTACTCACTCCATGTCAACAATTATATGCTATTGGTTTGATGGATGCTCTTCTAGTGGTGCCTTGATAAGGGAAAGTTACCAAATGTATGTTAGATGAACTTTCCATTGCATTGAATTTTTACCCTTGAATGCATGGTCAGTTCATGTTGATATGGGTTTTTCCAAAATTATTTCAGGCAGTTAAAGGGTCTATTCCCCAATTTCAACGTCGAAACGTTTTCTTTGAAAACAGATCCGAGGACACGTTCTGATGAATTTTAAATTTTGAAGTTTGATGCTTTTACAATTCTTTTCTTCTTTTTTCAATGAGCACAGAAGAAAAGACACTGGAGTTTGCCTTGACAAATATACAGTATTTTTTCTTCTGAGATAAGCCACTTATTCTCCATTAAGACATATTTAGCATAGTATTGAAGATAAGATTGAAAAAAGCTGACATAAAACAATTGGTTGGGAGACAAGATTAAGAAAACGTATTGAAGTTAAGCACAATGAAATACATCTTCAGCAGAAAATTACAAATTCAGCCTTAACACGGTTAGCCCAGCAAATGGCAAGTGACTGATTGAGTTTGTGGGTAAAGCATTAAAAACATGGCTTTAGCTGCAGAATCTCCAGGCTTCCAGCTCTCGACAGGTACATACTAAATCCTCTCTGAATGATGCATGAGCGACATCTGATTGATGAGCAACCAAACTTGCATATTTTCTGAAGCTGTGATTTTGTTGGATTTACAAATTTACAAAAGTCTCTAAACTAAACTTTTAAATACAAAACCCACATGTGATAATCGTTTTGTTGAACACATACTGTATAAACCTGTGATGTGCTGTAGCTCAAACAAACACCTATGAACCTATGAAGGTAATTGTTAAAGCTCAACCTATATTGTATATGTTTCATTTATAAAGAATGTATATTTCTGACCATGGGACACTGTACTATTGTGTACAGTAAGTTGTTTTTAGCAACAATATATGAAAAAAATTCCCTCACCTTGGCATCACTTACCGGTAGGATTTTCTTTCAGGAGAAGGATTAAACCCATGATGATGGGCCTCAAGGATTAGAAGTAATTTAGACCAGGAAGTTGCAGAGGTGAGCATGGGCAGTTCAAAGATTCACTTTCTCTCTCCGCTAAAAAATAATAATGGTGAGACATCATGCTGTTAAACTGCTGCTTCAACATCCACATGTTGAAGCAGCATCTTATTGAAATACATCATTTTTTCTAATCTTTGAGAAAACATTTTCATGGGATGTTAAATCGTTTATTTGCATACTACCACTATTGTATTCTACCCCCTGCTGTCACAAGATAAGAAAAGGCAAACATTGAGTTAAGTGGAAACAGTTGTTGGCATAGATACTTAGTTTAAACAAATCTTTTTGACCCAAACACAGTCGAACCTGCAGAGCTAATCCGTCATTAATATTCTGCTCCCTATGCCATATAAATGAAGAAATTCTCATGCAACACCATTGTGTGCAGGTCTGAGGTGTGCCAGGAGGTGCCTTACAAATAATGTATTGCCTTGTGAATGTGCATATCTGTGCTGCGAGAACCCTCTCTACATTATAATGTGAAGTGTGCCCTGAGAGAAATGCACTGAATAGCTTTTAATCACAGTCATTACATTTATTTTATATTATTATTTTAGAGTGCAAAGAATACTTCTATATCAGAGCAGAAATCAAAATAAAATACATGGTATACATATGAAATTATAGCCTTTGTGTGTTTCAAGTCCTGATAGTATTATGCATTATTTCACAATACAGGTAGAATAGTGCCAAATGCCACTGTAATCATTAAAGTACAGTGCTGTAATGGTATGATGTCATTATGAAATCACTATGACAGAAAAAATGCAAAAAAAGTTATCCAATGTAGTCAGATGATTATTTTTCATTTTCTATTGGCTCTGTTAGCTGTAAATGGATATTATTTCACATTCTGAAACATGAAATGAAACGTCTCATAAATGTAGATACCATGCAATTTTTGTAATTAGTTTGATTCTATGAGATGTTAATATTTAATAATGTTAAAGCCTCTATCCTGTGAAGTCAATAATTCCCTTGACTGACGTGTTCGAGTTGATGCAGAGGCATGACAACAGATCTCCAAGTTTTAACATCTGTATTTAATTATCTTTACAATCAGATACAGAAATTCCAACAAAGAGGGCTCCTAAAACTATGCATGTCCCTCTCTGGCCCTCTGCTGATTCTTCTGTTTCTGCCCAAGCCAGAGCCTTATTAGTCGATGTTCCGGGAGCAGGGGGCGTGTCGTATCAGGGAGGTCTTGGGCCCAGGGTCCGATGACACAGGTCTGGGACTGGTCTGGCCCCTGGTCCTGGTCTGGACCCGGTCTTGGTCTTCCATCTCCACCTGAGCAAACAATGCCCCCACCCCTGCGGCGCCTGATTGTGTTGGACTTTGCTCTCGCCCAAAGTGAGAGAGAGAGAGCCCTGCTTATACTTGGAGTCAATAATTGTCTAGTTTGTATACTATCTTGTGTCCTTGGGGTTTTTCCTGAGTGCACAGAGGTCTTTTTTTGGCTATGATGTCCAAATGGTCAAATATTAAAATATACAACATTTTAATTATACAACAGTTTCCCTCTTTTGACCTGATTAAAAATTAGGTCACAATCCACATCGTCGTTTATCATCCATACTTGTGCTTAGTTCAGGCTTGATATCTGTGAAGAGTTAATACAGGGAAAACAAAACAACACACAACCACATTCGAAACATTCCTTCACAAAACTCTTTGATGACCACCGCTGTGTCATTCTGATTCTTCATCATTAATCAAATTGGTATTATCGTTACAGGAGCTAATCTATTTTAGCAGGTTTCTCTGGGGTCAGTCCCTATACAACGGTATTTTGATTCTCTAATCTGTTGCTGACAAATCGACAGCTCTTAAAATTCTCAAAAATACCTAAATATCTACTTTTGTGCTATATTCAAATTAACCAAAATGCTTTTAAATGTTTTTGAATCTCTGTTGGTTCTAATCTATCTCATTAATCTAAGCTACATTAATCTAGGCTACACTCATGAACTTTATCTACTTTTGAAGTAACTACTTTTGGACATAATATGAAGGAAATGGTCTTTTTACCGTTTGATATTAGCCCTGTCTAAAAATAATTCTATTTTTGAAAGCATCTATCTATTTTACACTCTATTGTGACTCCAAATCTTGGTTGTAGTTTGAGCCAAAGCATATTCCCAATTTTTGAGTTCTGATTGTAACAATTGCATTGGCAATAGACGATTTTTCATTGGCTGGTTCTTGTTCTGCAAATCACTATTCTATGTATTGTATTTCAGACAATTCCAAAAACAACACAGTCGTTCTCCAATATTAAAGACATACATCTAAATCAAGTTGCCTGAAAGGGATTTTAACTATTTTAAAACGTTCTCTACGATTATAAGGCTATGCATTTAATTATTTAATAAACAAAAGCACATTCATGGCTTCTGTCCGCTGCTTATAACTGTTTAAAGAGTTGTCCCAAACTTAATATGTGTAAATACATCAGCTGTTTGTAATAAACAATAACATTTAACCTGTTCTCCAATGGAGCAGCTCAGAGGCTGCGTCAAGAGCAATGTTATATTTGAGCTATTTTTAGATTTAAAATTGTGTTAAAGCCTGTCGTTCTATTTCTGCATTTTAATACTACTCTCTATAAACACATCTGCACTAGTTCCTACAGATGTGGAAAACAGAAACATCTAAAATCTGACTCCATTTGATTCCTTTTTACTTTAGTTATTAGAACAATTTGACCTTATTGATACTTATTTCCACAATAGAACTATTTTAATCATTCCCTCCGGTGGACTCACCACCTGCAGGAGGATCAGTGAGGGGCTGGTGCTGAGTGTACTGGGTGCAGCTCTGACTGCCACCCCCCCCGACCCAGAAATGGATTAAGGGGAAGAAAATGGATGGATGGATGGATGATTATTCACTAGTCTAACTATTATTACTATTGTTTATTCTGACACCTCTTCTTAATTTCTCCTTTTGAATTTGCACAACACTAAATTTAGAATGACCCCCTATGGGACAAATATAGAATTTTATTTCATTTTGGCAACTCTGAAAATTACTTAATATTTTTCCCATTTTGCTTTTTTAGGCTGCCCTTTCTATTATTTATTTGTTCTTGTAAATATATGTTTTACACTTCTTTCTAA